AAATTTTATATAAAATAATTTATTATTAAGTTTATTCACCTTGTGATTAATATAAATAATATGAAATATATAAAAATTGTAAATCCTTAAATCAAATTTCGGTATACGTGTCATCATAATAAAAAAGTAATAAAAATATATATAAATTGTTAAATGTATTCCAAATAAATAAATCATATATTATAATTCTAACAATAATTCCTGAAACTAAATGTCTTGTAGGTAAAAAAAATCCTAAAAATCAAAAAAAATATAAAATCCTAAAAATATATGTAAAATTATAAATCCCTAAATCCTAAAATATTATTTTTAATATATAAAAAAAATATAAACTTTTCTAAATTGTTATGTATAATAATGACACTAATTTATTTGATATATATAAATAGAGATAAATGAATTAAAATTTATGTAAGAGCTCATGTAATGCTAGAAATGTATATTTTTAATTTTTTATTCTTTCTATTACAAGCGAAATTATAACTAAAATTTAATGTATTTTTATTCTTCTTTATCTGACATAATGATAAAACAATAATAATGTCTCATTTTATTTTCCATTCATATAGCTGGTTCATATTTTATCTATATTACATTGGTACATATAAGATAATAAATAAAATTTATAACACATAAAAATATATAATAAATAATTTGTTCATTAATATTATATATGGAAAGATCTATTTAATTAATGATACACTGTCAATTAGGACACATTAACTGATCATATAATAATTTATTTAATAATGATATTAAATAATACACTATTGAATTATAATGTATAAAAAAATATAATACCGTAAAACAAAGAAGTACATATGTATATATGGATTGGATGGATTTCTGAAAATATTATTACATAAAAGTTTTTAAAAAAAATTTATTAAAATAAGCATACAAGGTTTAAAAGTAAATGAAAAATATATATTATATATATATGCAATATATGTTTATATTAAAACGTAAAATTATACTACTTTTCTCATAATACTATGGAATTTATATATTCTCACAATTCTTAATATATATAAATAATATGAATTAAGGTAGTTAAAATTAATAATAATTTATTATATTATGTAAAGCACAAAATAAAAAAAGAATAAAAAAAATTCAATAGCTAAAAAATAACTGGAATCCTGTAAAGCCAGCTCATAAAATAAACATTGAATCACAACTATAATGTGTAAAGCATGATGTTATGTGAACTAAATTATTCACAATTATATATACTTTATAAAACAGTCCAATATATATATATATTACTATTTATAAAATAAGTGCATTGTGTAATATAAGTACACTGACATTTACTCATTTGTTAAGGATGTCAGGAAAAAATATACTAGAAATAATTCAAGTATAATTCGAATTCAATATTAAGCTTAAATAAACATATGTATATTAATTATTTGTCTTAACGATATCCCTTTATTTAATTATATACATATATTATTGTTAATATATTAAGTTATTTTCTTGATATCATAAATTCTTATTAAAATTTTATATATCTATTCTATTACCTTATTTTACCTTTTGATTTTTTAGGAAAAATGCAGTGAAGGATTATCTGAATGTAAAATCAGTTTATTTAGCGCATTGAATAACGCGTTAAATGCAGAGCCAGACTGTGATTATGGTTGTACTATAAATGGTATTGAGATACCTTCTGATGATGATCTTAAAAAAATTTATTTATTCTTGCATAACAAGTCAGAGTATTTATATGAATATAATGAAATACAATGTACTTATTTGAATGAATGCATAAATGAAAAAGGATATGAATACATAATTGATGATGAAAGAAGGGATTACATGAGAAGTTGGAATAATGATATTAAAACTATATTCGATAATTTAATTAATGAAGATGAATGTATTCATAAATGTTGTCAATTCAAATCCACTATAGCTATACCTACTTATTTAAGTATTCCAAGACCTCTGGAGAATACTGGAAAAAGCATCTCTGGACCAAATCCGTTAGTAGAATATGATACTCAAATTACAAATCCACCTGAATCTCATGCATATACTTCTGTTTTACTACCAATAACAAAGGTTACACCTATTGCATTTTTAACCCTAATAACAGTTGTATTTATTATTTTCTTTTCATCTAAGGTAATATATATATTATTAAAATTCATAAATAATATTTAAGAGACACATTATTTATAATAAAAATCTAAATATTGTAACAATTTTATCACATTATATATAGTTTATTATTATGTATTTTATATATAGTATTCCAGAGTAAATACATTTTTATGTAATAAATATAATTGGATGAGTATAATAAGGAAATACACAACAAATAGAAATCCGATTGCATGTAATGAAGATTTTTTATTAAATTCAACAAACTATTATATTAATATATGTTATCTATCATAAAATAATAATTATTTAATATACTACTGAAAATTGCAGATTAAATTCTAGGTTTAGTGTTTAGGCTTTAAGTTTTAGGGTTTAGAGTTCAGTGTTCAAGATTTTATATTTCAGAGTTTAGGGTTCAGTGTTTAGGGTTTGGGGTTTAGGGTTCAGTTTTAGGGTTTAGAGTTTAGGTTTAGGATTGTGGGTTGAGGGTTTATGATTTGAGTTGGTTTTTTAGTTTTTTTGTCTCGCGTTTATGATTATGTTTTATTTATGTTTTTTTTTTTTGTTGTTTATAGTTCGATGTTCATAGTTTAGTGTTTTATGTTATAGGATTTATATTTTGAGTTTTTTTCTATGTCCAATATTTTCTTGTTTTGATATATATAATTTTATGTTTAGGTTTAATGTTTATTGTTCAGGATTCAGGGTGCAACATTTTTGGTTCAGGTTCTATTATAGAATTCTTGCATTAATTTGTGATGTTTTCGTATAACGATATGTTATAATTTATATTCATATATTTATCTATATATTATAATGCGATGTTTTAATTTTTTTTTTGATCAATATGATTATTTTTATTTCTAAAGGTTTTTCAATTCTATGCTATTTTCTATAAATGAAATATAATAGTATTCCATGATCAGTGAAATTTTTATTTTTTTTATTAATATTTGAGTTTATTTTCTATTTATTTGTAATGAATATGTTGTTTTGTAGTGTCGTTTATATTTATTTTCATATATCTGTTAATTTATAAGTGAATATAAATGTTTGAAAAAACATGTGAAATATTTATAGGTATATTATATTTTTATTGGAATAATTTTTATATATTATTAATTCTTTTGTGTTATTTATTTTAATCTTTAAATATTTATATATATATATCGTATGTATATACTTAAAGGATTACTATGTGTTATGCTTACTAACTATACGTTAACTTATATTTTGTTTTTGTAATATTTTGCTTTTATTTTGTTATGTAACTTATTCCACAAATTTATAGACCTGATTTCAAGTTATATTCACTTTTATTCATTAAATATATATCATTAGAAGTATTTATGCGTGATGTTAATTTGAATATATATTGTTATTGTAATGATTTGTGAAATATGTTACATTTACGTTGCGTTGGTTATTAATATGGATTAAATTATGAATATTTTTACTATTATATATATTTAATAAATATTTTAATAGCTATTTGTTCATTAAAATATATTCAAGATTTATAATTATAAATTTTAATTATTATTGAATATATTCTTACACTATCTATCATGTATAACATATGTTAAAAATGAAATTTAAAAGAATAATAAATATTTGGATATACTATTTTTTCCTATATAAGAAAAAATAACATAAAATAAAATGAAAAATGGGATCTATAGTAAAATCTGAAAATTAGAAATAATTAAACAATATTTTCAATATAATACTACAGAATTTTATTAATTTTTTTATGATTATTCTTCATATTTTTATGTCTGTTATGATATAATAAAAGTAATTAACAAATGATACATAAAGTAACAATTAGAATTATATGATAAAATATTTTTATTTTTTTATGAACACTTCAAAGAACATATATGTCTAGGTTTTTACTTAATTAATGGTATATCTTTTATCAATGTCTGTAATTGATTCCTCCAATAAAGACAAATTTAAAAATATAAAGAAAAAGACACTTAATACATGTTTTGGACCTTATTATGCCAAAAGAAAATAAATTAATTATTATGAAATTGAATGTATATTAAAATAATTTATATCATAATTAATATTCAAACAAAGTATATGGGTATTCGTATGCTTTTTATGAATTGAAGATTTTTTAATTAATTGATATATAAATAACACATTCTGAAAATGTACAATTACTCGTAATAAAGTACACTGCTCGAAACTGTAAAAAGAAGTAATATATGAATATCCTAATAAATAATAATCCATTGTTATATAGTGTTAGAAAATTTAACAGTGATAATAATAATCAAGAATATCCTTGTAATATATTTCCTATTGTATATATATTTATTAAGTTGTGATGAATAAAAATATTTCAAGAATTGTTTACAGTCATATCAATACAATTGAACTTATAAATACAATCAATTATCATTTAAATAAGCAAAGGTACATAATTGTATTACCATTTTTATATTTGACTATGTTTCCACAAATTTCTTTTTAATCTATGCTTATACAAAATTATTTTTTCTGTTTGTTTAAATTTCATTCATATAAATTAATAGAAATATTAAAATCATACGGAAATATTAGAACAGATGAGCAATAATAAATAAAATTTGAATATGATGTGGTTTTAATAAAACCATTTAGCGAAATAAGTCGTGCTATAAACAAAGAGAGAAAGACAGCTTTAGGCGAAGAGATGTATCATAGATAGTCTCAATTTTATTCACAAGTATTGGTACAGTTTTTATTCTTTTCCTTTTACAATATTAATAATTGCATTAATTTATATAAAGTTAAAATTAAATTTAATTCATTAGATATATTTGTTATAATATGAATGTTACAAATTACTTTGAATTACATATATATTATAAATTACTTTTGCATAAGGATATTACATTTCATGTTATTTTTAATATACAAAATTTCGTTAATTATTACAACCAAAGCTAAGAAATTTGAAGAGAATGTTAAAAAATAAAAAAATAATACCAATTTAATGGATTCATTTGAAAATGGATTGAATAATTTAAAAAAGGCAAGGAATAATATATATCTCAATATAATACTATTAATAGTATAATAATAGTAAATTAATTAATGTTGTTTTGTAAAATAATTATGCTTAAAAAATATGTTGCATGTAACAATAGTGGTATTATAAGCATTCTTTAAAATTTTTACAATAAGGGGTGCATAAATAAAATAAAAATTTTGAAATTTTACAATATAATATACTATAATTATAATACGTGTATTAAATTAACAATATATAAAAGAGAACATACAGATATGATGTATTATAAATATATATATAAAGATAAATGAATTCAGACATAATATAAGAATTGTTTTCATAATATACTTTTTTCGAAATGCACAAATTTATTATTAGATATAGATAAAATAAACGGTGAAGTATTAAATTACATATATAAATAAAATAAGCTCGTAAAAACAGGAAAAAAATTAAATAATGTCTAGTATAAAAAATAGGTTCTATAAATAAATGCAATATCTTTATTTTCCTAATTTTAATTTTGAAGAAACCATAGTATATTATTGTTGTATCAAAGTTAATATATTAGGATACTTATATTTTTTAAACATTATTATAAATATAGAAATAACTAATATAAAAAATGAATCTGAGAGAATTTTATTCACCAATTAGTTAACATAATTCTGAGCATTATATATTTAATATTTTTAAATCTTGTAATAAAAGCATATTCATAAAATTTAGCAAAAAATATATATCATCATATTTTTGATATGTTAAAAAAATCATGTTAAATAATATGATATTTAAATTATATTATTATATGAATTAATGATAAAAATGTTATAAAACATATATATTCATATTATGCAATCATTATATTGCTTAATATTATTTCTTAAACGTGTGCTATATATAATGTATTGCATATTCTATAATCCTATAAATATGTAAGAAGAAATAAGCTATACCATGAAATAATCTATAATGTATCTGTTGTTTTTTCTACAGTTGGTGTCCTACTATTATAAGAGAATATATATATGTGATAAAATATACCATTTTATATATTAGTTTTATAGATAATAACTATTTTTACTTATATAATTACATTAAATTTTTTATAATATAATTATAAATTATATCATAAAAAAAAATTTTCAAATATAATAATAATATATATGAGAAAATCATTTTGAAGAAATTAAAATTAATGTTTCACATTAATTTGCTAGAATTTCTTCAATTTTTTTTTTAAAATCCCTCGGAGTGTTAAACTCTAATTAAAAAATAAGATTTAATTATTATCGATTGTATAAATATATATGTAGATAACTTAAATAATGGATAAATATTTTTTTACAATTTTAATATTTTATAATTATGAATCTTATTTTTTATTTTGTACTCCATTAAAATTATGCACATCTATGTTAATTTGTAGTAATACTACATATTTACATACACTAGGTATATCCAAATTTTTATACATTTGCATTGTTAACAAATACATATGTTTACAAAACATTAATGTGTTAATTATATTGTTAACATCCTCTTTTTTTCCTTCTATTTTATTTATATTATATTAATTGGGGAAAAATATTAAATGTCAATATAATACTTGCAATAGTTACACACATTTGATTTCTCCAATAAAAAAGTATAACGCTCAAAATGTTTTCAATATTATTTCAAACAACTAGTTTATTATATATATATATATTTACAATAAGATAAATGATATTCGAAAATCATAGTATAATTTTCCTCTGAGAACTAATATTTTGTTCTGCGAGAATTAGTTTTAGTTCAACACACAATGCCTGTATGTCCAAGAAGTTATTATAATGTACCACAATTTCATTAAATAATGAAATGATGTATATTAATTTAGTTTATTCTATTTTTATATAGTAAAGATTCTTAATCTTCCATTTATATTAATAATTCTAAATTGAATTTTCATATATTATGTCATTTTACTAGATATTATAAAAAGTCTTTATTATTTTATCATAATAAATCATATAAAATATAATTAAATTTTATTTCTACAAGAATTCAAATTTTATATTGTGTTTATTAAAATAAAATAAATTGAATCCAGTAACTAATATTACTCATTTATTGGTTTTAGTTAATTTAACTATATGCTATTTTATATCTATCATCAATTGTATTTTTGTGTTCGACATCAAATGAATACATAAAATCTACATTATTTTTTTTGTTCTTATAAAACTTTCTTCTTAATTTCCATACCTTTGGTTCTAAATATGAAAAATAAGGTGTATACTAAAGAAAAAATAAAATAATATTTTTATTTATTGTTCATTTATATTATACGTATTTTTTAATTATATTTCAAGGATAAATTATAATAAAATATAAATTTTGTTATATTGATTTTGTTTTAAACCTTATACAAAATAAACATAATTATTAATATTGAAAAAGTTATAAAAAGCATTCCAATACTTATTCCTGTGTTTTCTACATCATCTATTACATAGCTCATCGAAATATCAGATCCTAAGGCTTTGGGCATCAATGTTTCTCGGAGTCGCTCTTCATTCCCTGTTATTTCTGTATAAGTGCGATTAATATTCATTCTTTTTTGTTGTATCCAATCGTGAGTTAAGTAATCTAAGGCATGTCTTCCAATCGGACAACTCTTCCAAGAATTTCTATACCCTTCACATACTTCAATAATTTTTTCGAGTTCTTCCTTAACATGGCTTCTATTTTTATAAGGATGTTGTTCTAATTTTTCAAAGCATCTTTTAAAATCACGCATATTTTTAGTGCTTCTATGCTGTCTATTTGTAAAAAGATTAATCCAGTTATATATTTCATCTAGAATTTCTATTATTTTTAATGTTTGTTCATCAATATCGGTAAAATGCTGCATGCATACATCAGATATATTTATTCTGACAGTTTTTTTTGCATTTCTCATTACATTGTAACAATTTTTTGATGTTCCACATGAACCTCCATACTTATGAACTATATATTTTAGTTTGTAATAGAAATAAATACAATTTTCTCTTAGGTTATAATTTACATCCTGTATTTTGCTATCTATATAATTTAAATAATAAAGAAGTTGTATGCAAATATTTTCTAGAGATGTATCGTACCAATAAGAATTTTGTTGTATATTAATTCTAAAATCACTACAAATTGCTGAATACGAAGTACGATCTCTATCTCTTTGCGATTTAAACCACAGTTTATCAAATTCATTTCTACATTCGGGGAATAAACCCGAAAAATTGAACTAAGAATAAATTTCAAAATATATATTAAAATTTAGATTAAATTTTTATGAAATTTTTTTTTTTTACTTTTTAAAAATATATTCTCCGCTAAAATTAAGTAATATAAATTATAATTAAAAAAAAATAGAGGTATACACTGTTGTTTTTATCATTTTCTGGGGTCATTATGGTTTTAATATGTGTATAAATAAAAATTTATTATATTAATATTATCCTTTGAAAATATGAGGACATGTATTTTATTAATAGAGTATGAATTAATATATATTAATTATTTTACGAAATTTATTAAAAAATATATTTTTATTTCATTCTTATTTAAAATTAATCTTTGAAAGTATTTCCTGTTTGCAATAGTAGGTATAATATTTTTGAAAAATAAATAATAAGAAAAATTGACAGCCAAAACATGAGCTATATATATATATATATATATACGGAAAAATCAAATTTGTTTTTGTGACATTTTTATATATATAATATGATTATGATAAAACAGTTATACCCTGTAATATATGAAGTATACATATATTCATATAAGAAATAGATTCATTAAAAAATATTTATATACATGCTTTTATAAATACTTAAAAGTGGTATATTAATAAAGTAAGTACATTTAGCATTCGGGTTTAATGTTACATTATTTCTCTCACTTTTGTATAAAAAGTTTTATAACTATAATATTATGATATAATATAAATTTACATAAAATATACATAAAAATATTCTTCAATACATATTATTGATATAATATCATATATACCTCTATATAAGTATATAATGTAATCTAATTTAATATTATAATCATATATTTACATTGAATCATTCATTAGTAATATATTTATTATGCATAAATTGCTCAATGCTATTAGTGCATTTCATGATAATAATGATAATATTATTGCCACATATATATATATTATTTATATAAAAAATTAAATTATAATTAAATAAAATATGCATATGCTATTCATCTCAATTGAGTGTGTATATCGTTTATTATGTATGTAATATAAATTTTTATATAATTTATATAAAATAGTCATTATGTAGTTGCTTTATGATCTAAAAAATATAAGCATTCTCATTATATGTTATTAAGGAATATAAAATTACTTTTTATTTCTTCTTTGATACTTATAATCCTTTTATTTTATGAGCATTAGTAATTATAATTATATCTTCAATATCTGGCAAATGTAATATATTTGTGTATTATTAATATATTTAAAACATGAATATTTTAATATAAATAAAAAAGAATACTAATTTTCACATTTTAATTTATCACTGTTGATAAAGTAAGATGAATGTTTTATTTTATATTTCTATTTTAGAATATATTATATATTGAATTCCTTGAAGGCGTAAGTTACATATATATCAAATAATTATATTACAAAGAAAATTTCATCAAATTATAAAAAATTTTCTTTAAATTATATTAAAATAGTTTTGTAGAAATAACAACTTAATATATAATAATATTTTTTAGAACATGGTACAAAACTACTTAACTAAAATCTGTAATACCCTTAATTGTAGATTTTATATATTCTATATTAAATTTAGCTTTACAAAAAATATTCCCCTCTTGGAGTACGATGTGTCTGTTATTCATTATAATAAGAATGAGGACTTGTAATCAACATTTACTAGGTCTTTTTGAAATTTTATTATAATTATATCATATTAAGAAATTAATCCTTGTTTATTATTTCAACATATAAAAATTCTGATTTATTATAATAAGAACAGGTCCAGGATACAATATAATTTATAACAATATATATTTAATGCTATATATAATGCTAACATGTGTATAATATACTCTATTTCTTGGAACATAAAAAATTATGAAATATTGTATAATATATATTTGCAAAAAATTTTTATAATATTGTTAGTATTACAGATTAATCATTGTAAAATTATTTTCAAAATGTATATGTTATAAGTTGTAGTATCAATGATATTAATAAATAGAATCATATTTATATACGATAGATAGATGGAACAAATATGTGATATAATATTATATATTTTTTTTTTCTCTTTTCTACTACTAAATAGCATATTTTATTATATATTTTTTCAGTCTTAAATATATTTATGATAGAAAAATTTTATATATTATTTTATTGAAAATATCTGTGAGATCAAATGTATGAGTCTTTTTTTTTTCTAGCCTCTATTCAGAAACTACCATGTATAATTGAAAAACATATATGCACCTCATAATAAGCATTAAAATATCTTTTTTTTCCATACAGATTTTTAAACAGTCTAATAATAATAATATATAAATAATTAATAATGATATATTTATTTTATCCTACTAATGGTTAAGAAAATTTTCTCTTGTATATACTCACGGATTAAAAATGCAGAATGACATTAATTTATACAATATATATATAAAGAAACATTAAATTTAGTTCATAATCATAAGAAAATCATTAAATATAATCTAAAAAAAAAAAAATACATTTTATAATTAAGTGTACATACCATAAATCATTCCTAAATACACAATTATATATTAATCTGCAATAATTTTATTTTGTATTATCATTATTTTATAAATAATTATAATTACAGATTTATGTCAGAAATTTCAAATATATATATATTTCGAGGTATCTAAATATATTTTCATTATACATATGTAGTCCTAGTATATTAGTTTTGAAGGTATATATGAAATGTATTATAGCTATTATTTATATATTGTATAGAACATCGTATCCTTATTTACATCAACGTGAATGCCTAATAGCAATGTAATTCTTCCTAAAGCTTTACATATTTATCTGCAAACTATACATGCTCTAATTTTTATTTTCTAATGATTATGAATTAGTCAGTACAAAAAATAAATAAATAACTACAAAAACTTATAATTATCTAAAGAATTATACACTTCTTATTTTTTTTATACTGCTTATTGAATGTAAACTATATATAAAAAATATACACTTTTAATTTTAGCGATACAATTATTTTGAGAACAGAATAATAAATTCTTTTAATATAGTATGATCTAACATTATTACAAGAATGCATGATATTCATACATATTTTATGAAATAATATATATGTTGTTTAATAAAGTACAATTATGGAAACGTCATTAAGAATCATAGCGCAACATGTGATAAAATAATTATATATTTATCCCTTTTTTTCATGGCATAAATGCTGAATTTTTAGTATTTCTTTTACTGATGTGTATCCTAGTATATCATACATTAATACTATATAATGTTGAACTTTTCTACAAACATTATTATATGAAATTAAATTTTCTCATTGTTTTTTATCACTTCAGGTATTCAAAAAAATATATGAATTGACATTTTAGTTCTATTACTTTATAATAGTTTTGATGAACTTTTATAAAACGTAATAATAATATTATTGTATCACAAGTTCATATTTATATAAGTTATATAATGCACGTAAACTATAAAGTTTATACATATATAATCATTTGTATTGTTTTTATTTCTTATAATAACATAATTGTTTTTTACAAGATCAATTTATATTAACACAAGGATATTTGTATTAATATATATTATATTTTCTATATCTATACAAATAAAGATTATAACTGATTGCCTTTATATTGTATTATCCTATATTAGATTATTATCCAACATGATTAAGTTTATTGCGTTATTTATTTGAACTTTGATATATATTGAGATCATTAAAACTTTACATTATATAATATGAATTTTGTGATTGCATGTATTTGGTTTGAATTTAAAATAGCCAAACAAATTATTTGACTTTTTATTCAGCGATAAAAATTTTAATTTTCTATTGTCTTACATTATCACACTAAAAATATGTTTATATGTCTTTTTCTTCGAATTTAATCAATGAATATATAAGAAGTAATCTCCTAAAAATGTCATTCGTGAATTATTAATATAACTTGAGAACTTAAATCTGAAGTAAATTCTTTGAAGCATGGTAAATAAGATAATTATATAATAACCTTTAAATGTATAACTTATTTTTTTTTTTATTTGTTTATATGTTGTATAATGAGAACTAAAAGTGCGATAAAGAATCATATAAATAAGCATAATTTTCTATATGAATTTATTTATAATATATTTACCATTAATTGGAAAATGTATATATTAATAAAAATTCAAAATATTTTTGATATGTTTTGATGTATTATTTGTGTGATTAAAACACTCTAAAAATATTTTTTTAAGTGTCTAAAAGTTATATATATATACGAATGAAAAAATGAGGAACTTTTTAATATATAATTTTATAATAAATATTTTTAACAGTAAAATGTTGCATATTTTTTCTTATATAATATTAACTATTTTTACAATATCAATTTTTTTTATTTATTTACTGGATGATTTACTTACTTTTTAAAAAAAGTTTTCATTAAAGAACTTATTAGTTCCTATAAATTTATTTTAACACAAAAAATGGTAATGTACTATATCCATCTGTACATTTTTTTTTCATTCTAAAAATAATTTCCTTTGTAACCTAATATTCAATAAAACATTTATTCTCCTCATATATAATTATAACTTCCTATGCTTCTATTGTATCAATAATACCTATGTATGATTTTTATTTAATACAAGTTAATTTAATGATATCAGAAAGCTAATAAGTAAATTATAATGGTTTATTTAAAAACGAAACAATTATTTTTAATGAAAAAGAATAACATAAAATGACATGACTTATAGAAATAATTTTAAATATAATATAAATGTATGGAAAGTACTAAGGGATATCATATTGTTTTATATTAATATGATTATAGTATTATTATGATTTTTATATTTATGATAATGTTTTCATTACAATATAAATATAAATTAAGATAAATATATAATTTTTTGGATTCATATTATTGCTTATAAAAAAATATTTATTTATAAGATTTCTATAAAATAACTAAAATGAAGATATTAAAAATTAGGAAATATTTTAAGCACTAACAAAATTATACATGTAAGAAAATAATTAAACAATATTATATAATTCTATATTACCAAATAATCATTCCATTTATATAAAAATATAACACAAATAGATGTGTTCTTTATTTAATATTATTTCTGTCGTCATATAAGTACGTTACATAATTTAA